AGTGAAGATCACATGGGTGCTTGTCTGATTTGTGGATATAGCTGTCCATCAAACTAAAAGTAGGTATGGAAGTAGAAGTTGATAAAGTCCATTATTCTGGATATTTTGAACTTAGTGTATATGGTTAGGTCATGTGTGTTACATAGCACTGCTGCTACGAATTTTTTCATTACCTCTTAAGTCTACAGATTTAAAAAATGTGACATTCAATGAAATTATAAATTCATATTCTTCTACTATTAAGTCTTTTATTTGAATTTGTAGAATATTATTCCATCTGCAAGATTCCAAGCTTTTCCTTAGCTATATGGTACATTGGGGGTCTCTGGTAATGATGCAATTAGATGAAGATGTACATTGGGCTCAATGCATTTCTGGGCATCCATAGAAGCTGGAGAATGGGTCCACTGCTTTTCATCCACCCGTTCTTCTCTTATGATTTGACCTTAGATTGTTAAGGGTTCTTTTGATTAGGTTATCAATTTTCTATACTGGGCTGGTGTTTACTGGGATGTACATAGATTTATTTGTCTTGCAGTAATTTTCTGGCTTTTTGTATGAATGGTGATTTTTTTATGACAACTATGATATAGCCTTTGTCAGCTGGGAGGATGACATTGTTGTTCCTTCTTTAGGTTTGTAAGGGCTGCTCTGTGTCTTCTTTGAGCTGATTCTTATTCTGTATTATTCTGGTCTATGGTATGATCTATCCTATGTTTTCTTGTTTCCTTATGGAAAGTCCTGTGGTTTTAAATACTGTTTCTGAGGCTGGAAAGAATTTTAACTGATTTACATCCTTTATGCTATAGTTCAGGTCTTTCTGTAAGATATTGTCTTCTATGGTGGATAGTGGATGGAGGTCAACATCTGGATATGTTGATTCAGGTTCAGGTACTTCTTTGCTTCTGGTCTTTAGCTTGAATAGGTTGGTTTTGTTTTCATTGTTCCTGCTTGTCTTAGGATGTAATCTTGATAGTGGTTGTCAGCATGTTTGCTTATTCTGGGGTCATGGTTCTCTCGAAAATTCATATCTTAAATTGTCAAAGGCCCTTTCTGTATCTAATAAAATCAGTGTGGCTTATTTTTTTATCATGTTGCTCCAAATATTACAAAATATTCAACACATTTCTTTAGTTGTCATTTAACTATTGTTTAAGTAAAAACCAACATTGATTCTTATGAATAAATTCTGGCAAACTGATTTTAAGACTATCAGCTAGAAGTATTGTGAACAACTTGTAATTATTATTCAATAATGATGTCAGCCTTTGGTTTCTTATTACAGTCAGATCTTGTCTCTTTTTGGGTATTAGTGCTATATTAGCCTCTTCCAGCTCTCTGGTATTTTTCCTTCCTATAAACTGGTTCATCATGTTTTGTAAAGGTTGGAAAGATTTATTCTCAAACTATTTGTAATAAAAGCCTGATATTCCATCTGGTCCAAGCCTTTCTGGTTTAATTTTTTTATACCTTCAGAAACTTCCTTTATTATTATATGTCCATTCAAACTCTGCCTCTGTTCCCCTGTAATTCTCAGTACATTTTGTTTCTTTAGGATTCATTTATTTTTTTTCCCATGGAATGTCATTTCCTTTATACAAATAGAAATAATGTTATGAAATGTGTTGTGTATGACTGAATTGTCCATTAAGACAATATCTTCCCCTTGTAATTTCAATATCTTTTTTCATAATTTATATGTCAGCAACTTCCCTGGTTTATTTGCAGATTTATTTATTTTGCTTTACATAATCTAGCATAGAAAATTGTCATTATAAATGTACAGTGTATATCATAAAAGCTAAATTTGTTGCAAAATATTTATCTTCTCTGGATATATAGAATAGAATAGAATAGAATAGAATAGAATAGAATAGAATAGAATAGAATAGAATAGAATAGAATAGAATAGAATAGAATAACAGAGGTGAAAGGGACCTTGGAGGTCTTTAGTCCATCTTCCTGCTCAAGCAGAAACCCTATACCATTTCAGACAAATGGTTGTCCAATCTCTTCTTAAAAACTTCCTGTGTTGGAGTATTCATAAATTCTGGAGGCAAATTGTTCTACTGATTAATTGTTCTAACTGTTAGGAAATTTCTCCTTAGTTCTAGCTTCTCTCCTTGATTAGTTTCCACTCATTGCTTCTTGTCCTACCTTCAGGTGCTTTGGAGAACAGCTTGACTCCCTCTTCTTTGTGACAACCCCTGAGATATTAGAACACTGCTATCATGTTACCCCTCATCCTTCTCTTCATTAAATTAGATGTGCCCAATTTTAGCAACCATTCTTTATATGTTTAGCCTCCACTCCCCTGATTATCTTTGTAGCTCTTTTCTGCACTCTTTCTAGAGTCTCAACATCTTTTTTACATTGTGGTGACCAAAACTAAATGCAGTATTCCAAGTGTGGTCTTACCAAGGCATTATAAAGTGGTATTGATATTTCATGTGATCTTGATTCTATCCCTCTGTTAATGCAGCCTAGAACTGTGTTGGCTTTTTTGGCAGCTGCAGCACACTGCTGGCTCATATTTAAGTGATTGTCCACTAGGACTCTGAGATCCCTCTCACAGTTACTACTATTGAGCAAGGTACCCCCTATAACAGATAGCCCTTGACGTATGACTGTAATGAAGTCTGCTCATCACAATTGTAAGTTATAAAATGGGTCGCCCATATGACTGACCTGATTTTTATAATTGTTAAGTGAGTGCTACAGTTGTAAAGAAAATGTTCCCTTCATTTCCCTGCTGGCTCATATTTAAGTGATTGTCCACTAGGACTCCGAGATCCTTCTCAAAGTTACTAGTATTGAGCGAGGTACCATCTATACCAGTGGTGGCGAACCTATGGCTTGCATGCTAGAGGCAGCACTCGGAGCCCTCTCTATGGGCATGCATGTTGTTGCCCCAGCCCCACCTTCCCCCATGGCCCTCTCCTCACCAGCAGCCCCTGTGGAGGAGAGTCGCTTCCAGGCATGGCCTGCACAGAGCAGCATAGCCAAGTACATAACCAGGCAACAGGGACAAGACTCGGCCCTTGCATCCCATAGCGTGCATATGATGCTAAGGGGTGTGGGCAGAGGGCGTGGCTGCCATGGTGCTGCAGGGCTGCCTGGTGATCTGCTGCAGTGGGCCACGGACATGGTGAGTGGCCTTGCGGCTGGGTGGAGCAGGCAGGGCAGGAGGAGGAATAGGGGGCAGGTTTTGGGCACTCAGTCTCTAAAAGGTTCGCCATCACTGACCTACAATGTACCTGTGCATTTTGTTTTTCTTACCTAAATGTAAGACCTTACTTTTTTCACCACGGAATTTCCTTTTGTTAGATAGTGCCCAATGTTCAAGGCTGTCAAGATCCTTCTGTACCTTAAACCTGGAGTGTTGGCTATTCCTGCCAGCTTCATGTCATCTGAAAATTTGATGAGTTCCCCATCTATCCCCTCATTCAAATCATTGATGAAGATGTTCAAGAGTACTAGTCCTAAAACAGAACCTTGGGGTACCCCACATCATACTTCCCTCCATGTAGATGCAGTTCCATTGAGGACTACATGTTGAGTTCAGTTGGTCAGCCACTTACAAATCTATCTGCTGGTGATGTTATCTAATGTTTCTGTGATTCATTCTTTAATAGTAACAAAAAACAATCTCCTGAAGGTCCTGTTCATTTGTATAATTTAATTCCATTTTTTCAAAAGCAATTTCATCAAAGCAATGTTTCAAAATAATTGTGCCCTTTAACTTTATCATATTTAAACTTTGTACATCAATGTCTTGTTAACCTTTTGCCAAACGTTTTTAGATATTTAAAACCATTTTTAAAAAAAATCCAGAAGGAATGTTGATTTATCAGGTGGAGTTTTCTTTTTCTGCTGCTCAAAAAATCTCTCTTCAGCTGTAAATTATGTACATCCAAAAGTGTTTAGAAATGAGGCTCATGTGAACCTTTATGAGCTTGATTGAAATCCTTTGATTATCAGCCACTCATCTTATGAGCCAACTATAAAAACCTCAGATTCTGCAGTCTATTAACAAGGAACAACTGTACAGAGTCCAATTGGGTGATCTCACAATCTCTCCTTTATCTGGAAAGATTGCAGTGGTCAGAATTCACTGTTTGGCTTCAAGTCTCCACTGCAGTGCTATCCCCATTCCTTCAGGGATGTCTATTTCAACATGAATCCTCATTGCAAACCATGATTTAAATTCAAATCAAGTTAATGCCTTGTGTCTTCAAACTGACAAGAAATAATGGATGAAAACTAACCAAGGAGAAAAGCAACCTAGAACTAAGGAGAAAATTCCTAATGGTGAGAGTAATCAACAATGGAACAGCTTGTAGATGCTCAGTCATTAGAGGCTTTCAAAAAGAGACCGACAATCATTTTTCTGAAGTGGTATAGGATTTCCTACTTGATCAGGGAGAACATCCAAAGTTCCTTCTAACCTTATTATTCTATGTTTTATGTTCTTCATAGTTTCTTAGTGGATCACATACACTTTTGTAAAATAATATTTACCTAAAATTGCATATGAATAGTTCTGCCCATCCTTTGCTGTTTGTCAGCATTTTACCTTCTTTACTGAGCACCTGGTTCAAAATGAACCTAAGAATGAAAAAGTGGGGCTACTTCACTGATTTTTATACTTACTAATATCTAAAGATTAGTTGAACTTTGAACATCTCCAAGAATTAATGTTGGCACATGAATCCTACATGTAAAGTACCAAATGGAACGCATAACAAATAACAGCTAACAGCTAATCTTTCTTGTACTTTTTCTAAAAAAGTAAATAAATAGCTACCGTAGACTCAACCCATGTAAGTTTCCACTCCAGAAAATTAATAGTCATAGATAAAATTTCAAACATCTATTTGATTTCTTGAAGTATTTTCATCCCAATATCTATTAATGGGAGAAAATTATGCCTAAACTGTAATGCTTATATGATCCATGTGAAGTTTCATACTTACCTTAATACATCAGCAAAGACTTACTTTTGCTTAAACATTGTGATTTGAACCTTAGACTTAAAGGATCCCTGGCATAACTTGTCACAAAATTTGGTATTCCTTGTTCATACTGCAAAGGGAGGGGGAAAACAAAGGAGAAAGATTTGGTTTTGATGGCAACTCTGAAGACATGATTTATGAATTTTCCTCCAATTCGACATTCATAATGGACAGTAAAAACTTTGCCACAATGGCAAGTGGCTTTTCCTTTTTGTAACCTCCAGCTATAGCACTCTGACTTGAAATTATTCTGCTCCCCTCTTGCTTCCATTTCAATTTTATTAGTTGGTATTTTTTAATCAGGCTTTTTTCCTGGTTTTTAAATCTCAGATCTGCTTTAGATCTTTTGAATAATTACTCTAAAATAAACATATTAATATTAAATAATCCAGGAACAAAACTCAAATAATCTTACTTTGGATGCATTATGTGTAGATCTAGCTCTCTTTTAATTCTAGGAAAGGTGGAAGGAAAGAGAAGGATTGTCTGTGGAGATTCTCAGTCATCCAGGTCATAGTTGTCTCAATGATGCTTTTTCAAAAGGCAACTGGATTGGTTTTTCCTTGATGAAGAAGAGCAAAATATTTTGCTTCTCATCCAAGAGGTTTTATCAGTTGTGATGGCAGGGGAGGGATGATGGAAAGATAGGTACTAAGAGTTGAAACTGAATGGTGGGGGGATGGAAGGATGCATTCTGACCTATCCTTTTGAATGAAGGTTAAAAGAGGCCATTTAGGTTAACATTGAGCAGCCTCTCTCAACAGAGAGGGAGGGATAAGGTGCAACCTATGTCCAGTCTACAACACAGCCCTTGCAGCAGTTCCAGGAAGATTTCACATCCAATTGCACTCTGATTCATGTGACCCTGAGGGCAAAGATAAACCCCCAAGTGGCCTCAACAGCTCCCCTGGGGAATGCTAACAACCAGTTGAAATACAGTCCTTCCATTCCCCTCCCCACATCATCTGGTTAAATGTCCAGTTGCTTTTTGAATAAGCATCTTTGAGAAGAAGAGGATGATTAGCAGCAAAGTGGATAAACTCAGTTACAATGGCAATAGATGTACTGTTGGGAGAACTGAAAGATGGACACTAAGGGGGACAGAAAGGGGACAGAATATCATAGACAAAATTTATCTACATGTTAACTAAGAGTTGACAATGACTTGATGGCATGTAATTAATCAATCTATCCTTCGGGATAATAGAAAACATTGCATTTATTCTTTCTCTTAAGGTAAAAGGACCTGCTATCACCCTTTTGAAAGCTAAGACAGAGATCAGAATGAAGTTAGCATTCAGTTTTCTCTACTTTGCAGTTCAGTAAATGTAGTAATAATAAAATGCATATTTGGAGTTAGTGTGCAAAAAAAGAACATTTAATGATATGTAATGTAATGTAAATATGTGTATTAGAGATTTTTTAAATCATAGTCTGATTAACAAACGTATGCAAAAAAGACATACAACAGAAAAAGACTGACATTTATTGCTACCAACTATTGCTACATTCTCAGCTAATAAATCATGTGTTCATTTGTTTGGAGACTCTAAAGAGCATAAAACAATCTGTTAATAATACACGGTCCTTTTAAGTCAGAAATAAATTTCCCAATTAGTCTGGTATTTTGATAATTGGCCACACTTAAGTGTTTGCAGCAGGTTTTATACCACCACCACCTCTATATTCTATATTCTAATCCAAAGTAGAAGTTTAATTCAAGAAGATATTGTTGGAAGACTTGTGGTGCCACAATATTGATCCTGTAATGCTCTATAATCATCGTAGAGCATATCTTACCTTTTTAAGATCTCAGTTACATAAATAAGTTATTTGAAAATATTTGACCAAGTTTTATACATAAAGTTTCATAAACACATTGATGATAAAACTATTTCTCCTTTTCATTCAAATCTGGACAACATATCAATGATTTGGCTAGATGGCTAAGGCCACTAATGAACCAGATTGGAGATGAGCTGTTAAAACAGCGCTCAGTCCAGGTAAGGATATACAATATAGATTATAGTAGGCTTTTTCAAGGTGATGTTATTCATATTATTCTAGATAAAACTATTTTGTCCCTTAAAATCAAGTTCACAATATGTAATGGAATATCTGGATGGCCTGGGGGCATAAGATGTTACCAAGGAAACAGCCAGACAAGAGGGAACATTCCCCTTCCATTGACTTATAGATTAAATAAAGAAACTTAGGAAAGACCCACCCTAATTAGTCAAGCTGTTAGAAGTGGTAGCAGGAGGTTTATACCTTCAAACTTGCAAGATTCTGTTAATGCAGCCTTACAATAAAGTAGAATTAGTGCATCGGGTCATGTTTCCTATCTGATTATGAGAGCTGACGTCAATCTTGCAGGTCTAGGGGCCAATACCGAAACCAACAAAACTTCCTTAATCACAATGATAAATTTCTATTTGGTGCGTTCTGGGGAGGTACCATGTTTTTTCCAAATTCTATCTTCTGTAACAATTGTGCAGGCAATACAAATGAGCTACAAAGAAACATCCCTATGAAAAATATTATGGAATATGAAAAAAACAACAACCCAGTGAAATAATTTCCATACGTGAATCAGCTCGTGCATGAAAACATTATATTAGAAAAGGTTATTGTCTCAGCTGTGTTCTCAAAGCTTTACAGCAATAAAAATAATATTGCTAATTTAGCAATATCACAGAGGGGCTAATTTACAACTAATTCATGCTGTGAATGAGTGGAGAAAACCAATGGAACTTAAGTGGAAGAAATAAATTCTAAGTTGAACTAGTCTATTTAAAAGTACTTGAGTCCAATAAGAAAACTCAAAAATTCTCGAGGCACCCACTGAGCAAAGGGACTGAAGATAAATATTCCAATAGTTCAAGAATTTTCTGGGAACTCCCGAGGCTTCAAAAAATTTTTAAAGGCTATTATTAGCCACATAAATTAACCTTCCCAAAGGGCAGTTAAATATGATCCACACCACAATCTTCATCTGGCTAAGGCTTTTGCTGCAAGTGAACTACCTTGCAGAGAATATACTTTTTTAATTTATTGGAGGACATTTACAGAGAGATAAAAATAGCAGGCCAGACAACATAATAAAAGTCCTGCCCCCTTTTTATATGTGTTGCATCTGCCACTTATGTTCAAAAGTAGGTAAGGTTTTGATTGAGTGGTCATAGCCCCCATCTTGATATTTTTGAGCCTCTCAATGGATGCCCTATCTTTGTTATTGTTTTGTAGCTCATACAAAATAAAATCAATTATCACCTGTATAAAGTAGCATAGGTCCCAGATAGGACAATTATAACAATAATTGCTTCAGTCTCAGCTGAAGTTTTACCTGTCTGTAATCATATGGTTTGGGATCTTGGTATTTGTTGCTAGTAAATTTTCCCATCTTCACAAACATTAACTTGGCTTCATAGGGGCCTCTGTAAGGAAATCTGGTAACAATCTCTGTTTCTTTGTCCTCTTCAATGAATGGGACAATCAATCCTGATCTTATTCTGTGTAATTCTTCATAAAATGTCTTCTTCTTTTCCTTTTTTTTCAGCTCTTGGAGCTTTCCGACTGGCTTATGTGAAGATAAATGCACTTTATAGCTAAAATCCGGTGGTTGCCTTATCCAGGATTGTCTTTCTGGAGGGGCTTTGCATTGCTGTGAAGTACGGATTTGATTTCGTTCTAATGCTAACTCCAGGTTTGTAGTAAATTTTCCTTTTGAATCAAAAGAACATTTGGATGGCTTCTTGATAAAGGCATTGGGAAACATAGTGTACTTCTCCTCTTATGTCTGAAAAAAAAATTTAAAAATGAAATTTATTATTATTAGTTTAGTGTTCTATGGCAGTGAATAAATGTATAATTCTAATATCAACATCTCAATATTATATCACAGCAATTCCCTTTCATGTACAATCGTAATATTTTCAGCAGTGCATATTATTACATTTACGTGAGAATTGTCCTTCAATAAAATACTCCCAGAACCAGTGGTGGGATTCAGCCAGTTTTCACCACTTCAGCAGAACCGGTAGCTAATTTTTTGTTGCCCAGGCCCAGATTGGACTTCCGGAAGCGGCATCCACATAGAGAACTGGTTCTTAACATATTTGAATCCCACCACTGCTCAGAACTAATAACCAGAAGGTACAGAAAACAGTGGAGTTGTGGCATGTCTCCAGCTTATACAGCACTAAACTCCCAGTGAAAATTAGGTAGAGAAACAAAAATTTTACAAGCAAAATAGCAGGAACCTCTTTTAGCAAAGTTGTGAAGACTTAATCAAACAACACAATTCATGAAGAGAAACAAACATACTTTAGGATTTTGTTTTTTGCATAACCTCAAAGAAATAATGCAAATTCAATGCTATGAAAATAGCTGTTTTGGGGAAGAACAAATAACAAATAAATATATAAAATAACCATAGACTGCCCATGGTCCAACAAAACTATGAGATATAGAATATAGACTCCAATGGCCAATCACATGACTTCCTCTGAAAAAAGCAAATACATATTTTAAAAAGGTAACCAGAATAATTTATTGACATTAAATGTAGAATGAATTAAGCAAGTTAAATAATTTTACTCACCTTCACCTTTCTCAAAATGGTCATGCTGCTTTACACTTTGCTTTAAAATGTTAGAGCAAACCAAGCAAAGAGAAAAACTCACAGTAGTGTTTGTTCTGGAAGATGTTTGTGGCGCAAAGAAGCCTGAATGCATAATTGTATTCAAGTCATCTGGGTTGCTAAGAAACAACAATTTCGCCTTAGGACTCCATTTATAATTTACATTTAAACACCCCTGAAAATAGTGTCTCTATCGGTGGAATAAATTTTAATGTGAAACCTGGCAACAGGGACATCCATTCAAGGACTTTATTTGAACTTCTAGGAATCAAAAAGGAGAAACAAAGAAACTATTGAAGAAAAGAAAAAATTGCAGGATACCTTTTTTTTTTTTTTCAAAATGAGATTCCAAATAAATATAGTTACCATATCACCACCATCAGCACCACTTTAGTTGTAGTGTAAATTCACTCACATTGTTATATGTATATCAATCTTGCATACTACAGTAGTACAGCAGACTACTAAAATCTATAGTACGCCACATACTTAATCCATTTTTACAATATGGAGACTAGTACAGTTACAAATACAACATATGGAAAAATCAATATACATTATCACATAACTATGACATCTATGTGGGACTAGTTTATTAGGATTTGTGTGTTATTCAAAGCAGCAAAATTGTGTATAGCTATGTTCTTGTGCTAGATATTTTGACACTGTTGAACAATCAAAAATAGTTACAAGGCAAAATAGGTTATACCACTATTTTGAGGTATTTTATACACTACTATCAAGCTAGACTATTAGAAACACAATACTATTTATTCTGCTTATGATATTTTTTACTTAAGTTCTATGTATCTTATCTTTTCCCTCAAATTATTAATTATGTTAGATTTTTTTTTCCTATGTTGGGGTCATTGCTTACAGTTGTACAAAGTGACTAACAAACATAAAATCTCAAGGAATGCTTCCACATGAATCCTTTATTTAGGAATTGTCCAGACTCCTTTATGGAATTTTATAGGACATCTTTGATTTGTATCCTCCCTATGTTTTCACATTGTTGCTTTTATCTTTTTTTTAGCTAGGAAAAAGAAAAACCATGAAAGAGACAATCTATGTAATGCTTTTTCATTAGCAGAAATTTTCAGGAACATCAAAATAAATTCTAATTGACAATGGAGCAATACATGAAGTCAAGTGTGCATTCAAGATCCCAAGATCTGGACACGAAGATAGAGTTAGATTAGGGTTTGGTAACCTGTCAGGCACATTAAGCAAGGAAAAAAGTATGAGATTTGGCGAGAAAAAAGAGACCCATATTTTCTTCTTTCTACATTTTTGTAGCAACCAGTCTGATAAAGAGTTCTGGAAATTATAAAAGTTTCTTCCTTGGGGGATGGGGATGTTTTGGTTAATCTTAATAAAACTATTTCCAATTTTTCTCCCTTTATGAATAAACAAAGTTATCTTTGTTGTTTTTTCCCCCCACGACATAGGCTTACTAAAAGTGCAAGCCTTATTTTATTTTATATGCTATTTATCTAGTTTATATACTACAGTAATAGTGGACAGAGGCAAAAGAACAGGTAATTCTCAAAAATCCATTCACATAAATCCATTCAAATAAAACCAATGTTAGATTTGTTTACGTAGCATTGATGTTTGAGGGGAAACCTAGTAGTCCCACTATAATGTACAAATCCTACAAACATTCTATTTAGTGCTGAAGTAAATACTTAAAGCTTTGACAACAATAGTTAGTATTTCAAATTTATGATGTTTTACCTCTTGTTCGTGCACTGCAAACAATGCCTGGAAATTGTGGGGTTTTTGCAAAGAAAATACATAACAATGGCTATGAGAAGGCATAAAAGGTTAACATTGAAATAACAATAAAAAGGATACATATAATGGGTTCATGCATTTGCCTTTGATGAGATTATATAAGACCCTGTAAGGCAAAAAATGAGATACACATAATGACTGACAGGACCAAATTATCTTTTAAGATTCATTTTTCATTAGTGTATTTTTATATTGAATCCAATAGATTATTAAATGCTGTCTTCTATTGGAATTTTATTAATTGTTATTATACTATTCATATTAATGTTAATTTTTGTATTAAGTCATAGATTATTAAATAATTCCTTATTGTTTAAATTGTTTACTATGTCAGTGTAGTCAGTGAAAAAGAATTACTTCAAATTATTGTTATGTGTGTTCATGATACTAACTATAAACTGATTTCTCAGTGTATATTACATAAAAATGAATGTTTATCACTCAGAATTTAAACATTGGGAAAAATTGCCACTAGATGGCAATATATTACTTACTATGGTACTGTAACAGAAACTTTAGAAAAAAGATTATAATTAATTTTTTAATCTATATCGACATAGATTTCTTTTTTTAAAAAATCAAAAGACATAAGGTGTCATCTCCAGTATATTAGCAAGAAAAAAAAAAGAACTCAGAAAGCACTTCTAAGGATTTTTTAATGTGTATACTTGATTAAAAATTTAAAAAGCCCACTACAAAAATGCAATACTTTTGTGAAATGGTGAGCCATATAAATTTGAAATATTAATAAATCATAAAAAGAACATTAATAAAAAGTGGAATGGCAGTCTCCCAAAATATATCTGAACACAGAAATAATAGTATGGAGTTTCAGAATATGTTGAAAAGACATATGTATTAAAAAAAAGAAAAGAAAAACCCAATAGATGATTTCTAAGATGTCAGTCCTTCTTGGCATTCCTCTGGCTACTGAGATGTTACTATTGTGTTGATGCTTTGATACAAAGCAATCCAGAAATGCTAATAAAGAAAGTTCTACATTAGAAGTTAAATGATTTGTGTACAGCAGAGCTCTTTTTATAGTCTTGGTGACTCTCAGCATACTACTATGCAGTTTGCTTGGCAATAGTTCCTAAGTGTCTTGGGCATCCTTCCAAGATATTTTTTTCAACTTGCAATGCAACCTAGAAAATCCCAGATCCTAGCATTTCTGAAATTCTGGGCAATTTTATTTTTTACCACAATGAGACATATCTATATCAAGTAAACAGTGACAACACAAACAAAACTCTCACAATGAAGTGGTAGAATGTTATAGAACATTGGATTGAGTTTTGATGAGGGAAACAGAAAAGATACTCACAAAATGCAGTTTGTAACGATTGTAGAAAATAAATATAGCCAAATTCAACCAATGCCATAGTATGAATGGAGCAACTTCAAACTGTTGTTAATGTTGTATAAAATTATATGCTACTTACTATTAAATCAATTACATTCTCTTTCCAAAGGTTTGAATTTAATGACTTTGAACATTCATATGCTGTAGATTAATTGAAATCTGAGTATAAAAAGAACAGACCACTATTTTGGTGTATATTTATAACTTTATCATTTACTGAATATAAAACAATCAAGCATTTCCTCAAGATCCAATTATTTTTCTGATTTTTTTCTCTGCTTATTTTTATAATTTTGTCTCTTTGATTTTTGACTCTACAGCTCTCTTCCAATTTCAGCAGTTGTATATACAAATTTTACTTGATAAAGGCTCTTGTGCTGGAGCAACAGGAAGAAAAACTTTATTCCAGTTGCAGGTAGTCCTCAGCGTATGATCACGAGTGTGCACAACATTTCTGTTGCTAAGCGAGACTGTTGTTAAGTGAGTCTTGCTGTATTTTACAACTTTTCTTGTCACAATTGTTAAGTGAATCACTGTTGTTAAGTTAGTAACATGGTTGTAAAGTTGATCTGGCTTCCCAAATGATTTTGCTTGTCAGAAAGTTGCAAAAGATGATCACATAATCCTCGGACACTGCAACCATTATAATTATGAGTCATTTGCCAAACATCTGAATTTTGATCCCATGACTGTGGGGATGCTGCAACAGTCATGTGAACGATTGTCATAAGTCACTTTTTTTTAGTGTGAGATCTTTTTTCAAGGACTACCTATAAAAGGGGTATTTATGTCATTTGCAGATAAAAACTATATCATACACTCCTTGGTACTCCTTGTGCATTCTTGGATACCAAGAATGTGTATCCAAGAATGCTTATAGCGTTTTCTCCATTGGTATGTTCCAGGGACACCAAAAATATTACATTCAAATAGCCCCAAAATATCCCATTGAGCTTTAAACAGCAGCATGCAAAATAGAACTATTCCATCATATTTGCCTACCTGTTGAAGGCAATTAGCATCACCTATGCTAGTCATTTTTTTCATAATTATGTTTCATAATTATTTTCTGCTAATAGGAAATAACTTCTTCCCAAATCTGAAATATGTAATTACATTATACTTTATTAGAAGTAGATTGGTTGTAAAACGGGACTTCCCTCCAATCCCATGTGTATCTTTGAATATTACACAATGAGGATCTTATTTTTATTCTAAATGTATCTTATAATAGCAAAAATCAGGAAGCCTCTCTATAAATCATTAATTTTTCTCTTATGCTTAGCATACTGAAACTGTAATATATCAGACAGTCTTCTGGGAAATATAGCTTTCCAGACTGGCAAACTTACTCTGTAGGAAATACTAGGCAGACTCATGAAGATGCTTCATGTGCCAAAAGGCATAGAATGAATAATTTCTAGTGCATCCAATGTTGTCATTGCTTGTTGGAATTTCATGCTCTCAAGATCAGTTTACATTTTGACTATTTGTCGGGGGAAATTACTCTTGATTGTTAAGGCTGCTAAAGACTGTGAACTGGAGACATTTGTATTACAAATTATATGAATATGGTATTACATCCCCCCCCCCTCATCAATCACACTCAAGGCTTGAGCTATGTGACATTTAGATCCAGCGTTAAAAAGCATACTGGCAGATCAGAAAAACGCAACTCATTTAAACTATGTATCCAATTAAAGCAATGGACCCCAGGAAGAGACCCCAGTGAAATAGGCTTAGCTACTTTCAAAATTCACATAATAAGATTGGGCTACTATGTTTTGTTATGATCTCATTTTCAGAGATCCAGGACTGACACAAAGATTTCTCTATTAGTTCTATATCTGTGATTGTTTCACATAAAAGTCTTCTCTTCAAAATGCTATCTTTCCGGATAGAGCATTTTCATTTGCTTAAATGAAATTTAAAACAGTTTTTTTTAAAAAAAAACTAAACTAAGCCTTAATAATGAAATGATGACAACAGCTAAAACAAGATAGCAGAAGGTGTAAAGTCTACTCAAAAGCTAAGAGGACAGGTTCTAGGTTTAGCCTGGGCAAACAAGAATAATAGGGTTTTTTCATTTAGCTGTTGTGTCCAATGGAACAGAGGCTGCCTAGACAAGTCTCTGCAATTTTCTTGGAAAGGCTTTTCAGAAATGGTTTGCTATTGCCTCCTTTCTAAGGCTGAGAGAAAATGATTGGCCCAAGGTCATCCTTCTGGCTTTGTGCTTAAGCAGAGACTTGAACTCATGGTGTCTGACTTAATGTCTTAATTACTACACCAAACTGGCCCTAGGATACTATTTAGAAAGGTACATTCTCCTCATGTCTAACAGCTCATTTAGCTACAGAAATATGTTTCTTCCCAGCTCTTCTGTGGAATTTTCTGCAATGACCCATCCCAACAACTACAACAATAATAATAACAACAACAACATATGTCTACATGGATAGAGGGAACACTTTCAGAGAGATGCCAGTTTTGCAAATCTCACCCATGTACAATTTAAAATGAGATTTTAATGTCAAAATTGTTGTGATATTTCTTTTTGTGTGGATAACTCCCTGCAGTTTTCTTGGCAAGATTTTCAGAAGTGGTTTACCATTGCCTCCTGCTTAGGGCTGAGAAAGAATGACTGGCCTAAGGTCACTTTGTGCCCAAAGCGGGACTAATAGTTGTTATCTCCTGTTTATAGACTGCTTCCTTAATCACTACACTAAATAGCAAGCCATTTTATATTGGGCTATGAAAGAAACATTGCAAAAATACTATATTTGATTATTGGACCAGCATAGGGGAAACATCATTTCATTGCTTTTAGTTGGTGTCTTTGAGTCAGTCACTCTCTATTTCAATACATGCACACCATTATTGTTGTAGGGAAAAAACAGGACAAAATGCTGCCTTGCAAAGAAAGTCTGGATCAAATATAGCAAAGAACAATCACTAATGCAATAAAGTTTATATACATTTTTTTAAAAAAATATGAAAGTAATGTATATGTAACCAATATACTAGAAACATACAACTGTCTTCAATATATATAATTATAGAAGAAAAGCAAATATCTGGAATATTTTTGATCTGTTTATTTTTTATAATTTTCCAGTGCACAGGACAATATACTGGCCAACACGGGGGAACAAATTAGGTTATTTACACCAATTTCAAAGTTGCTAAATGTAACAGATTGTATCATGGATTTAAATTTAGACAAACTATCAGTATTAAACATTACCTCATTTGAGGTTTTTGGCATAAATAATTATAAAAATTATAATTATTAAACTGCTCTTAATAGAAAGGCACTTTTCTGTGATGCCTAAATTTATCTGGGCAATGAGTATTCCATATTTTTTTAAAAAAAATACAAGTAAAAATACATACAAATATTAGTTAATATGTGACCTACATTCAGCAATGAAAGAGACAGAAACAGTGCACAATCGATGAAAAAGGAAGAAACATCTGAATGCAGTATTCAGATCATGGTGATTTTCAAGTGATACAGAATTTTTCTACTGGGAAGTGAGCCCATGACAAGTAATTCTAAAGAATATACAGATGGAGCATCTATGACCTCACAAAGACCAGTTATAAGAAAGTCACATGAAGCAATGGAACTATTCAAAAGGTTACTATTGCCAGGCCCATGATGGATGAGAACTATTGGGAGTAAGTAGAATTAGTTTGCAGCAGCTGCATCAACATTATACTAAAGTTTCATGTGGTTCTGCAGGTAACATCATGTCCATCTCCAGACACAGCTTCAATGGGTGAGATGAAACTCAATGAAAATCACTTATTTGACATAAAACCACTGTAGATAACAACATACTATAATTCAAGTCTCTTAAGCACTTATGCAATATATCTTGGATTGTTAGGTTTGAATGTTGATATTGTGTATTAATATTGATCTTGGGGAGTGTATCTGCTTGGCTATAAAATAAGATAAGGCATAGAGAAACCAAACCTTCTGGACCTTTTTGGTAAACAAAATCTTGTCACAGAAAGAAACAGTTATAGCACAGTGGAATAATGCCACATTTTCACATGAATGTCTGGTTCCAAATGGAAGGTTGATTCACTTCCTGGCTTATTCAAAATTAAAATGGGTGGTGGTCTTAACATTTAGAACTAAATAAATCAAAGGAGTTCTGGAAGAGGAGATGGTTAGTGTTCTGTTTCAGAAGAAGAGGCATTGAGACAAAGCAACAAATTCCAACAGTTCTCCTTTATTGCGAACACCAACAGATTTTAAAATGGTGCAGCCCCCTTTTATAGCCCCCCATGCACAATACCTTGCTGGCCAATCATTTCAAAGGATCTTTTCCCATCATGCGTGTGTGTGCAAGGCTGGGAGCAGCCTTTCTTATCCCGGGCATCCACATGCCCAGGACATAACATCCCTCCCCCTTGGCTAAAATAATAAGGCACACTTCTTATTTTTAATACTCCAACACTCCATTACATTGCGTACATTGCATCTATACATACACAACACTACAGTCTTACTATTGCCATGCTCCCCACTCCCCTTAAGCTGCATTACTTAACCCAGACTACCAGGCCTGCCCATGAACTGACAAGGACCGTACATAGTCTTGTAAGTACTTGGGAGGACCTCTGGCCCGCCCTGATCTTCTCATGGCCAGTGTGTGTGCCTGGCCTGCCAGCTCGCCTGCCAGGCTAAGCAGACCAGGACTTTGTTGCCCCAAGGATCCAGGGTACCCACCCAGCTGCTGACTGGCTGGATCCTCTAAATCCAAGCCAGGGTTCCTTGGGGGGGTGGAATTCCCCAAGTCCACAATGGACTCCTCTTGGGAGCACTGTCCCTCAAGCCCTAGACCAGCAGCTGGAGTGGCTTGAGTGGCTGATGTGCCCCAATACCCCATGGCCCCCGTGTATGTGCCGGAGGTGCCAGAGGCCGGAGCTGCCTCCATGGCGAACCCCCTTTCTGCGGACTCCCTGTTTGGAGCAATAGCTGAAGCCTGGGGATGTTAGAGAGACCATGGTCCACAATCGTAATTGTGGTCATCCTCCCCCTGAGAGCAGAGCCAGGAGCAGAAGTGTTGCTGGGAAGCCTCCAGCAAAGTTGATCGATGTGCCACCTTAACACATGACCATCATCCAAGCCCACTTTGTATGACAGCGGCCCAGAGATCTTGCATATCACTGCTGTAACCCAGAGATGTCCTGGTCCATAGTTCCTTGCCCAGACCGGATCGCCCATTTGTAGTCTCCTAGGTGCCTGCGGCTCTGACACCTGTGAAGCCACCCGGTCTGGGTGCAATCTGTCCAGTTTCGTGATGAAGCGGCAATCCCAGCAGAATTCAGCTGGGCTCTTTCCAGTAGCTGTGCAAGGTGTGGTGCAGTGGCAAAGAAGAAAGTCCGCCAACCTGTGATGCCAGTTCCTGTGAGTGATCCTTTTTAAGGCATCCTTGGTTGTGCGCACCATCCATTCAGCCTGGCTGTTGGAAGCTGGATGGAACAGTGCAGATGTGGCATGCTGGATCATGTTGGCCTGGTGGAACGCCTTGAACTCAAACAAAATGAATTGGGGCCTGTGAGTCACTATAGTTTGGGCCTCGGCCATTTCCTCATCAGCTGGCAATTGTTGATAGGCCTGAGCCAGGTCAAGCTTAGCAAAGATCTGGCCCCCCTTGAGAAAGGCTAGAATGAGGCTGACCACTGGTACTGGGTACGAATGCTGCTGCAGCACTTTGTTAAGCATGCACTTGTAATCCGCACAGATTCAGACTTCACCATTGGCTTTCAGTGGCGTAACTATGGGCGTTTCCCATGGACTACTGTCCACAGGCTCTAAGATACCCTACTGAATCAGTTTATCCAGCTCTGCATCTATTTTACCCTTTAAGGCAGTAGTTCTCAACCTTCCCAAAGCCGTGACCCTTTAATACAGTTCCTCATATTGTGGTGACCCCCAACCCCCATCCAGCTGGCCAGGGAGGGGGGGCAGGAAGGCCACTCCACCAGCTCTGCCCAGCCTGGTTGGAGAAGCGCCATTCCTTTCTCTCTTTCTCTCTCTCTTTTCTCTCTCTTTCTCTTTCCTCTCTTTGGTTAGTGTCCTGTTTCAGAAGAAGAGACATTGAAATGAAGCAACAAGTTCCAACAGTTCTCCTTTATTGCAAACACCAACAGAACCGATTTTAAAATGGTGCAGCCCCCTTTTATAGCCCCCCTACATAACACCTTGCTGACCAATCATTTCAAAGGATCTTTTCCCGCCATGCGTGTGCGCGCAAGGCTGGGAGCAGCCGTTCTTGTCCCGGGCATCCACATGGTCTGCCCAGACCAATCACTGCAGCCTGCGCCTGCCGGCCCAGGACATAACAGTTAGAGATGACATTTTATTTGTTAGATTTTTATCCTGCCTTTTTACTTTATATAAATAACTCAAGACAACAAACATGCTTAATACTTCCTTGTCCTCCTATTTTCCCTTCAGCTTGGGCTGAAAGAGAGAGAGAGAGAGAAGGAGGGAGGAGACAGAGGAGGAGAGAGAAAGAGAGAGAGACAGACAGACAGACAAAGTCACCTAACTGGCTTTCATGGTTAAGGCCAAAGTACAACTTACTGTCTCCTGGGTTCTAGGCCAGCAGCATCTTAACCACTATACCAATCTCTCTCTCTCTCTCTCTCTCTCTCTCTCTCTCTCTCTCTCTCTCTCCCTCCCCTCCCTCCCTCCCTCCCTCCCTCCCTCCCTCTCTCTCTCTCTCTCTCTCTCTCTCTCTCTTTTCCCTTTCGTCATGATCTTGATTATCTTGAGTAGTCAAATCTACAGAGAAGAAGTGATGCTGTTAATGGGGTGAGGCTATAATTTTTCTTTTTTCTCTGTATTTTTAAAACCATGATAACTGTATTTCAATAAGATTTTATGGGTTCCCACATAAAAATGCTACATATTTTCTCAAATTACAATAAATTGCCAACTTAGTGGCCTGGAGATACTTACCTAGATTTGACCTGACTGCTGAATTAAAAGAAAAAAAAAAACCTAAGGCATCAGATCACGTTTCAATGGGGCAGAACTGACTTTACCATTAAGCAGATTGAAGCAACTGCCTAAGGTGTCACAGATAGATAAAAAAAGTTAATTACTTAATTTATCATTGTATACTGTAAATTAAAGGTTCCTTCATGCACAGTAATCAAATGTGCTCTTCTATTTTTTTTCATCATCCCCAATGCCCACAGCAAACTGAGTAGCTTTCAAGTGCTCATATTTAAAGCAAGTGGAGCTATTACTGGTATATTTGCTGACATTAAATACATTCAGTTAATGTAAGTTAAGAAAGGGACACGTTAAGAAAGATAATATGTCTAAATTCATAATCTATGATTTTTGAGTAACGTAAAAGTAAAAAAACCCTCCAAATTAAACAAAAAGATAATATAAAAAGATAATATAAAAACCAATTAACAAATAACAAACATACAGTATATAAAAACACATTTAACCATCTTCCCAATATAAAGAACTAATCAGAAGACAATAGAGTTTTAAAAAGTCACTGATAATTTTTTGACTGACTGGTTTAAGCTATTCAAATTCTGATGATTACTTTGTATCCTTCTGTAATTCTCCCGAAAAGAACATTCATTACAAGAGTGTTGTTTTTTTCTTTATTTTATAGACAGTGACTTTAGGACAGTTTTTTTCACCATCTTTTGGAGGGAGGGGTATTAAGATTTCTACCAGCTTGTTACTCCATTCTTTTTATCTGTTCTATTTTATCTATTTATGATGTTTGGTAGCTTTTGGCAAATATTACAAAAAAATAAATACTACAAGTCAAATGTAGTTGCAGGTAAACTTTTGTTTTTGCAAGCTTGCTTTAGTGAGCAAATAAATTATCTTACTTTGTTCTTCTAGGTAAATACAAAGATTTCTAAACAGGTGTTTAATCCCTAGTCTCATATGCATTATGTTTCACCCTTACAAACTACCCATATTGAGTTATTAAAACTGTTATTATGCACATGATTTTAAATAAACATATCTAATGACAGATAACACAGATTTCACTCAGACTATAATAATCTTTCTGGCCTTAATTTTTTTTATTAAAAGTTTTACAAATTTATTACAATATAACCCCCCACCCCACCCCGTCCCCCACTTCCCAGAGCTGATTACAGGGTAACAAATAAACAAGCATAATCTAACTAACATAAACCAACTATACTATCAATCAAAACCATAACACACTTTAACTCTTTCTCAAAACAAATATTAACAAATTAAAACAAAAATAATTATTAAAACTATTAATAATTATCTAAAATCTACTCAAAAGCAAGGTAATACTTTTCAGTTTCGTATTTCTTTTGAATATATTCAATCCATCTTCTCCAAACCATAATGTATCTTTCTTGTGAATGGTCCTTCAAGTAGGCGGAGATTTTCGCCATTTCTGCTAAATTAGCCACCTTAAGTATCCATTCTTCCAAAGTAGGCAGTGAGTTTTTCTTCCAATATTGCCCCACCAATAATCTTGCAGCTGTTATAAGCTTCAACATCAAATTGATTTCTTTAACATCAAAATCTACAATAATACCCAACAAAAATAATTGCGGAGTAAACTTTATCTTTCTCTTAAAAATCTTTTGAATATTCCACCAAATCTTAATCCAAAAGGCTTTAATATCTCTACAGGTCCACCAGATATGAAAATAAGTTGCATCTAAATTTCCACATCTCCAACATTTGGGCTGTAATTTCGGATACATGCGAGACAACTTTTGGGGATCCAAATGCCATCTATAAAACATTTTATAAAAATTTTCTCTTAAATTTTGCGCTTGAGTAAATTTTACATTTCTAACCCAAATTGTCTCCCATGTATCCAATAAAATCGGATCTTGAATATTTTGAGCCCACTTAATGGGCTTAATTTTTTTCATGATGTTGAATTAGTGTAATGACTTAGTGATGACTCAAGAACATATTCTTTATATGCAGTACCCTGCAGATATGCAAGGACTAAACATTGGAGCCACATCAGAGAGGCTTAGTTTATTTCCAATTTGTACAGAATACATATAAGATTTCAGAACATCTTCATGAGGAGGAATTTCCTTTCCTGGTATTATTTGGCTTGATAATGACATTGTTTTATAAATAGAGGTTGGATCCACAGGATAGTGGCCAGTCAGTTTTACACTGGTTCTCAAACACTTGCTTAGAACCTGAATCAGAGTCCTAGCAATATAATGTAGAAGGCTTCAGAGTTATTTTAATGGTTCTGCTGGTGTAGCATGTACACAAGTTCTTGTGTCAGATAAGCAGATAGGTGCCATAGCTGGAGGACTTTGCACAGTTACAACTGGTATACCAGTTACAGCACTACTTGCAGCCCTAGCCACTCATCCACCTGGCCTGGGTTACCATTCAACATGCAGTCGGAAATCACTATAAAATGCAGTGGCTAAAATATTAGCAAGTCAAAGTTGCTAGAGTCATTTACTATTGGAGAGTTGCTTGACTAGCTACCATTAGATTTCTGGGCACAATTCAAGATTTCACTTATAAAACCATGTAGGGGTTAGCACCAATGTACTTTTCATCTACCAAATCCATGGCGTAAACATATTTAAATGTTTTTTTTAGATTTGTGAAGAAGGCAGGAGCTGACAAGCAGTGATTGCCCATTGCACCTCCACATTACTAAACAGCTTACTTCTGGAAATTGAACCAGCATTTCGCCCTCTGGAAACTATGAAAGAGTGAGCTGTCCTGGAGAAGAGTAAATGATCATTATTGTTCCTACTATATTATTGGGAATGTCCATTTTATTTTGTCTCTGCTTTTAAATGTTCATCATTTCTAATGTTTTTATAAGGCTTTGGAGATCATTGGTATAAAAATACAAAACACAAGTTTTCTTATTTTCACATAAAAATAATAAATAATAATTTTTAAAAAAACAATCATTCTGTGAATCAAACTATGGCTTGTTGCACATAAAGAATACTAGGATTACATCAGATAATGCTATATCAAAGAACATAACCTGTAGAGAACATTCTTGAGCCACTAATAGAATTCCTGAGACATTTATCTTTTATCCATAGATTTTAAAAACCCATTAATATTTTACTACTCTAGATTTTTGAGTAGTTTTCTTTCTTTTGGGATTATTTTTTATCTACATTCCACCAAAATAAGAAGCAACTCAGTTATCTTAAAAAAAATATCCATTGTCTTTCTAAAAAAGCTATCAGTAATCTTCTAGATTGCAAAGAAATAGACTACAGACTACTGCTTTGAGATTCTAACAGTTAACCTCATAAAAACATAAGACATGATAAAAACATAAAAACAAAGAAAAAATAAAAAGTATATTCTATAGTTCCCTTATGCTATAAATGTCCATTAGGGGAGATACCAAATTGTTCTCTTGTACAAGAACTGCACAACTATAGATTCTCTGAGAAGACCATTCAGCAATAAATAATTATGCCTGGTAGTATAGAATTTATGTATATTACATTGTATGACCACTTTATTTTATTTTAAAAAATAAAATATTCAGATTCCATCACTTAATTGTAGCAAAGAAAAGGAGGAGGGTTTCATAAATGCCCAAGGGGATGTCTTTAAGCTCTCACGATTCATATAGAGAAGTCTAATAGCATTTAATGATTAAAATGAGTAATCTTAAAAGCTCAGCTTTCAATGAGCAGGAAATACAGTCAAAATTCATGACATTAGATTAGTTTATCTAATAGTTTTCAACAGAGAGTTTTCAATTTCATTGTAAAACTTCTAGGAGTAAAATTTTAATTTTACTCACACATACACAAATCAGAACATTGTTGTGCTTGTCTCTGAATAAACATGCATATAATAGCTCACATATATTGTTTATACTCTCACAAAACAGAATGTTTCACAGCTGGTGAAGTGAGGCTCAGCACAAATTCCTATCCAATTTGTCTTCTTTCTGAAAAAAGGAAGGAGAGGAATACTTAAGTATTAGAAATGCTGACTATATAGACTATTGCCAAGGTTATTTAGAGCAGGGCTTTTCAACCTTTTCACCCATTGTACCACTTTTAGGATATGGCAACATCCGAGTACCACCAGTCGCCTAGCAAGGTGTCAAAAACTTGATAACCAAAAAAAAAAAGGAAAAAAGTGATAAAGTACAGGTAGTCCTTGACTTACAACAGTTCGCTTACTGACTGTTTGAAGTTATAATGGCACTGAAAAAAGTGCCCCCCAAGACACAGCCAAGCAAGACACCTGCCTGCCCATCTGGCGGTGCTCTTCCTCCTGTCCGAGGTTTTCATTGTTGTGAGCATTTCTGTTGAGGATTGGCAGTGGGGGTGGGATGGGGGGTGTTTGGTTTTTATTCCCCCCGTCTGCTGGGTGGTTGCAGCAGGTTTTGATCACTTCACATGACTCTGGGACACTGTGACCGTCATAAATATGAATCAGTTGCCAAGCATCTGAATGTAAATCACAAGACCCTGGAGATGCTGCAACATTCCAGCTGATTGGTGCTTCTTCGGGGCTCAGCAGAAGCACCAGGATCAGTGCCAAGCTCCAGCTGGAGCCTGGCGCTGATCCTGGCGCTTCCACTGAGCCTTGACAGCCCTGCAGCTCCAGCCATCTCTCACTCAGGCTTGTGTGGTGCTGCCACCGGTTCAGCTCATTCCCCTCCCCCGCTACCACTTTTCTAGGATGGTCGCATACCACCTGCCAGGTGCCAATGTACCACAGATGGTACCGTACCACTGATTGAAAAACCCTGATTTAGAGAAGTTGAAGCAGATGGAGTGTAAAGTTTAAAGAGGCTCCTGTGTGGCTAACCTGCTGCTCCCTTCTAATTGTGCTGTGGCTGCTGCTGATCTTTCTGGTCACCAACTTCCCTTTCTTTCCAGGATAACTGGCCTGCAGCGACAGGGCACACCAGAAAACCTTTTAGCCAAACTTACTTCTCTCTGAGAGGAAACTGTGCGGGAAAAATTTAAAAGAGATGGGTCGAAAAGCAATCTGCTTTCCCATCGCGCCATGTGGTGTTGCCGGCTGCTCCCTGCTCCAGCTTGTTCTTATAGCACTTTGAATGCCCGCTGCGCCCTCTTGTCTCTCTTTGGGTGGCAGTGATGGGCCACCAGTGAGGTAGGAGGAAGAAAGAGATCTAGAGAAGGGAAGGGAAGGGAGCGGAGCATCTTTAATTTGGCTTCTACAAAAGTGGGCGATCAAGATAGAAAACACAATACATTTTACCCTGCCACTGGGGCTGAATGTTTGTTTTGTCTAATGAGTTTCTAAGAAAAAGTATTTTTGTAAACAAGTTTTATGCCCATTGTGAATCATTTGAGGCTGGGAGGAAAATAAGACAAAGTTCAATAATAAAAGTAGAACTTCAAGCACCAATATTGCTAATAATTAATAGAATGACTAATAATAACTACAACTGAGAAAACAGTTATATTTGAAATATAAACTCTTTCATGGTGGAGAGGAGACCTTCCTAATAGAGAACATAAAGAGTATGAATATGATCCAGGGTATTAAAAATATGTATTAAAAAGGTTGTGGGAGAAAATGCCCTTTGACTACATGAAAGGTTGATGACCAAGAAAATAAAATCATTCACTGAAATTTAGTTTGGTCTAATTTTAGGTTGATTAAACACAGTGATTGAGGGCTATGATCTATGGGACAGTAACAAAACAAAAGCAATATTAATTACAACAAATGTCATCTCTCCCTTTCCTTAAGTTATTTCATTTTGGGGTTTTTTTTTTGTTTAAAGCAAAATAAAAGTAACAAAGCTTCCCTTCCTGGCAGTAAAAATGTGGTAATACCAATATATATGTGTTGCTCTTTCATTATCTCGAAAATTAGCCAGCAAATTTTCAGTATTTCCACTTCTGTACCACAATTGTCCCTAACTACTGATTTTAACAAATATACATGGCTGTTACAATGTTGTTCTAATGCAGGGGTAGGCAACCTCGGCTCTTTGATGACTCATGGACTTCAACTCCCAGAATTCCTGAGTCAGCATAGCTGACTCAGGAATTCTGGGAGTTGAAGTCCATGAGTCATCAAAGAGCCAAGGTTGCCTACCCCTGTTCTAACATAATTGAGATAGTAAGTGCCCTTAAGGTTACTCAAAGGTTCATGACTGACTGGGATCTTGAAGGTAAATTTCCCTAATTTTGATCCAGTGATCTAGCACAGGGGTCTCCCACCTTGGCAACTTGAAGATTTGTGGACTTCAACTCCCAGAATTCCTCAGCCAGACATGCTGGCTGGGGAATTCTGGGAGTTGAAGTCCACAAGTTGTAAAGTTGCCAAGATTGGGGACCCCTGATCTAGCACTATTTAAGCAGTGCTTTCTGAGCCAATTTGCTTGAATTTTCTCAGTGCTTAGGTCTTGCAACAGAGTAGAGGTTGTTCTCAGCTCACAACCAGTTGCTTGGTGACCAACAGAGCTCCTGGGAGGTATTTATGGCCCAGTTCCTAAGTCCTAATGGCTGTCCTATCACGATTGCATGTCATGTGCTCAGCAACCACCCTGCAGTTACAGCCATTTGCAATCTCCTGCAATCACCTGACCATATTTTAAAATGTTTTTATTGAAAATCAGGATTTACTTCAATTATAGTACTTGCTTAATGAAGGGAACATTTGCTTTACAACTGTAGCACTCACTTAACAATTATAAAAATAAGGTCAGTCAAATGGGCTGACTGCCCATCACAACTTACAATTGTGATGGGCAGACTTCATTACAGTCATACGTCAAGGGTTATCTGTTATAGGGGGTACCTTGCTCAATAGTACTAACTGTGAGAGTCCTAGTGGACAATCACTTAAATATGAGCCAGCAGTGTGCTGCAGCTGCCAAAAAAGCCAATTCAGTGCTGGGCTGCATTAGCAGAGGGATAGAATCAAGATCACATGAAGTAGTAATACTTTACAATACCTTGGTAAGGCCACATCTGGAATACTTCATCAAGTTTTGTTCATCATGATATAAAAAAGATGCTGAGACTCTAGAAAGAGTACAGAGAAAAACAATAAAGATGATTAGGGGACCGGAGGCTAAAACATATGAGGAACGGTTGCTGGAATTGGGTATGTCTAGTTTAATGAAGAGAAGGACGAGGGGGGACATGATAGCAGTCTTCCAATATCTCAGGGGCTGCCCCAAAGAAGAGGGAGTCAAGCTAGTCTCCAAAGCACCTGAAGGCAGGACGAGAAGCAACGGATGGAAACTAATCAGAGAGAGAAGCAACCTAGAACTAAGGAGAAACTTCCTGACAGTTAGAACAATTAACCAGTGGAACAACCTGCCTCCAGAAGCGGTGAATGCTCCAACACTGGAAGTTTTTAAGAAGAGACTGGACAGCCATTTGTCCGAAATGGTGTAGGATTTCCTGCCTTAGCAGGGGGTTGGACTAGATGACCTCCAAAGTCCCTTCCATCATCATCATCATCACTATTATTATTATTATTATTATTATTATCATTCATCGCACAGTCAGCCAGATGTTCAGCCTGGATTTGGCATTTTGTCTACCTATCGAGTCCTTACCCAGGACCTGGGATAGGCAGATGTGGATGTTTGATGGTATTACAGATATCGTCGCAGGATGGAAGCAGTTCCTAATAAGGCTGCCTTTTGCAATTGACTAATAGCGAATTTGTCAATGCCAATGGTGTTCAAGTGGTGCTCCAGGTGTTTTGGGATTGCACACAAGGAGCCTATGACTATTGGTACTACCCTTGCTTGCTTTTGCCACAGTCTTTCTATTTCTATTTGTAGGTCTTTGTATTTGGTTATCTTCTCCAGTTCTTTCTCTTCTATTCTGCTATCTCCAGGCACTGCCACGTCCACTATCCAGACTTTGCAGTATTATTATTATTATTATTATTATTATTATTATTATTATTATGGATCATCGCACAGTCAGCCAGATGTTCAGACTGGATTTGGCATTTTGTCTACCTATCGAGTCCTTACCCAGGACCTGGGATAGGCAGATGTGGATGTTTGATGGTATTACAGATATCGTCGCAGGATGGAAGCAGTTCCTACTAAGGGCCGCCTTTTGCAATTGACTAATAGCGAATTTGTCAATGCCAATGGTGTTCAAGTGGTGCTCCAGTTGTTTTGGGATTGCACCCAAGGAGCCTATCACTATTGGTACTACCCTTGCTTGCTTTTGCCACAGTCTTTCTATTTCTATTTGTAGGTCTTTGTATTTTGTTATCTTCTCCAGTTCTTTCTCGTCTATTCTTCTGTCTCCAGGCACTGCCACGTCCACTATCCAGACTTTTTTGTCTTTCTTATCGACAATTGTTAAGTCTGGGGTGTTATGTTGCAGGTGCTTGTCTGTTTGAATTCTGAAGTCCCAGAGCAGTTTAATTTT